CACCCACCCATCCACCCATCCATTGATTCACCCACCCATCCACTCACCCACTCATCTACCTATCCATTGATCCTCCCACCCATCCACCCATCCACTCATCCATTCGCCCACACATGCACCCACTCATCCACCCATTCATCCGTCCATCAATACACCCACCCATCCATCCACTTACTCACCCATCCACCTATCCATTGATCCAGCCACCCATCCACCCACCCACCCATCCATGGTACACACACACATGCAGTTGGCCCCTTCTGCTCACAAGTATGCAGATTTAAGCAGCTGTGGATGGAAAGTATTTAGAAAAATCGAACCCATACTGAACATATACAGACGTTTTCTTGTTATTAAGTCACTGGATGGGATCTGAGGAAGGGATGGGCTCTTCAACTCACCTGCGAAGTGGATTCTAGACTCCTGTCACGGGAAGGGAATCTCAGGACTCCTCAGAGTGAAGCCCAGGCAGGGTCATCATCAGCATGGTTAGCAAGGGCAGGAGAGCAAGAAGCGGACGCAGCCCACGTGTCTGTAGGCCTCACTCTGTGCGGGGTCAGGCTGGCGGCTTGCAAAGCAGGGCGCCGCTTTCAAGGGTGCGCTGAGGTGAGCGGGCGGGTTGATTGCTGTCTCAGCGAGGGTTTCCTAGCTCTGCAGGCTCTTTACGGTTGAGGGGCAGCTCGGTTTCCATGAGATGATTTCATTAGAGGTGGAGGCTGCCTGGGCCTTGTCATGGGGTGACTGCTCCTGCTTCTGGGGGTTCTTATTTGAGGTGCTCTGCAAGTCTCTGCTCTTCCCGGGAGCTGGCTGTGCATTCGGAGACTTCCAGATGCCCCTCGGGTGCTGTGGACCTGGACGTTGTGCTCTCACCTTGCTGTGTCAGTCTTGGGGGTTGAAGTGTTCCAGGTAAATTCGGGGCCAGCAGACCCTGTGGTGCAGGTGCTCCTTCGGTGATGGACGTTCCCACGCGCAGAGTGGACCAGGGTCTGACCCGAGTGCAGAGCGGAGGAGAGAGAGAAGAGCTCTTCTTGTCTGCCCAGCCCGTTCTCCCGCCCTACCGGGCTCGTTTCCTGAACGGTGCAGCGTGGCAGCTATTTGCAGAGCTCGACGCCGCAGTAGACGTGATGTTACCTAGCGGTAATGTGCAGGGCATGCGAGGGCGTGTGCGGCTCCACGAGAGCATTGTGTCACTTTATAGGGTGGACTGGGGTCCACGATTTGGGTATATGTAGGAGGTCTGCATTCCAAGCATATAGGGATACTGAGCAACAACTGTGCGCGTGTGTGTGCATGTGTGTGTGCAGTTTATGTGTGTGCCTAGTAGTTTACATGTGTGTGAACGTGGTGCATTTCAGGCCCACCCACACCCGCACCGTCTTGAGGTGCGCGCCACTGTGGGAAGGAACTGTACCTAGCACACCCTGCTTTTTGGTCTTGGACGACTGAGGTGGTGACTGCTTTTCTGATGCGTGTGAGTTGCTTTGACTGAGAATATGAGCAGCTTTGTTTCTGGGGAGACCGAGGGCACCAAGCTCCGCCAGCCAGTGTTTGTGGGGACCCGGGTTCCCTTTCTCCTGGGTGGGACCGCAGCCTGCTGGGAGTGTGCCTCTCAGCTTTCGGAAATGTTGGTGCCGTGTTCTTGAGCCAAGAGGAGCACCCACGAGCCGGCCTGCTTCTCACACCCACCTCTGTGAATCTCCGAGGGAAGCCTGACGTGTGGTTCTGAAAGGAAAGCCGGTGCTGTTTTTCGTGTTTTTGTTTCTTTGTGTGATTTTGATGGCTGCTGTGGGTAACCATGGAATCAGGGCCTGCCTGTCTGCTGGCTGAGCGTGGAGCCGCTCTGCCTCCTCAGAGGGGACGAGCGAGAGTGACCTTGCAGGCTCCTTAGCGCCACGGAGGCATCTCCTGGAGAGCGAGGAGGTGGAAGGGTGGGGGACAGGCTGCTTCTCCGGGAGGGCAAGGAGGGCGGGGACGCAGCAGTGCTCCTGCCCAGGACTGGGGCACAGAGAGATCAGTCACACCCCAGCCTAGCCTGGTTGTACGCACCAGTGACCCCAGCCCTCAGGGAGGCTGAGGCAGGAGAATCAAAATTCCAGCCCACCTTGGGCAACTTAGTGACTTAGCCAGACCCAGTCTCAAAATAAAAAATAAAAATGGGCTAGGGGGTATAGCTCAGTGCAAAGGCCCTGGGTTCAATGCCCTGTATCAGAAAAGGCAAAGACAATCATGACCAGCGGAGACCTGAGGAGGGTGACGCTGGTGGGAGGGGAGCGGGGTGTCCCCGTGAGCAGAAGCACAGCCTAGGGGGATGAGGGCCGGGATGTGTGGAGCGCAGGTGCACCCGGCTCCCCCGAGGCTGGGAGGTCAGCAGGATGTGGGTGAGGAGCTGAGGCCTGGTGGAGACGTGGGCCGGGCCGGGGCTCAGGGCCGGCTGTCCTGGCGGGTGAGGACTTTGAGTCTGGTCCTGGAGACAGCGGCTGCACCGGGAAGACGTGGATGATGCCGGGTGAAGCAGAAACAGACCGGTCTCCTTATGCAGTACATGTGTCATTTACAATAAAACACGTTGGCGCACGCCTGTGATCCCAGCCCTTGGGAGGCTGAGGCAGGAGGATCGTTGTGAGTTTGACACCAGCCTGGGTTACAAAGTGAGCTCAAGGCCAGCCTGAACTGCATAGCGAGACCCTGTCTAAGAAAGACAAAAATAAAATAAAATAAACTACGTTATTTACCCCCTAGAAATGAATATGATCTAATGTAAACCGCATGTCACGTGTGCGGTGGAGAGTTTCAAACGTGTTGTCAGCGCTGCCTGCCCACCTCCCGGGTTCAGGGCTCCGCCCCTGCTTGTCGGCTCCGGGGACCCCTTGCCTGCTTGCCTCTCCTTCTTTGCAGAATTGTAGAAATGATCTCTCTAAGGGTGCCTGCGTGTAGCAGGAAGGCTTTCACCCCTTGTGGTGCTGGGACACCGGCACAGCGCGCCTCAGTTCCTTTTCTCTCCCTGGCTCCCCTCCCGCCGCTCCGTGCGTTCCCCTTTGCGGCTCTAGCGCTGTGTTTCCCGCGCCGGTCCTTCCTTTGCTCTTTATTTATACTTTGGGTTTCTCGCAGAGGAGAAACCACGTGATGTTGAAGCCTGTGCGTCTGATTTATTTCACTCAACATTATCTCAAAATGCGTCCCTTTTCCCGCCAAGGACTCTAGTTTATCTTTCTTCGTGGCACAGCAGTGCTCCAGGGTGTGTAGATGCTTCTTCCCCCTATTCATCCGCTGATGGGCATGTGGCTGCTTCCCCGACTTAGCTGTTATGAGCTGTGCCGTCTAATCACGAGCATGAGCGGGTCACTGCGGCGTGATGCCTTTACCTCCGCGGGAAGATACTCAGAGGCGGAGTAGCTGGGTCAGATGGGATTTCTTTCTGTGGCTTTTTGAGGGCTGTCCACCTTGATTTCTAGAGTGGTTGTGTTAACTTACATTCCCACGCCCTCCCTGCGGTCACTGTTTGTTGAATGACTGTCTGTCAGTCCTCAGGTTCTGACTTCTGTGTCTGGGCACCCGCAGGACCCTGGACAGGAGAAGGAGGAGGAGGAGGAGAGCCTGTCTTCACGGCCCCACAGCCTCCTGGGGAGATGCAGAGCCTCCGGCCTGAGCAGATGCGGGGCCTGTTGGAGCCCGAGAGGGTGAAGACGCTGCTGCCCTGGGAGAGCCGGGCCTGGGAGAAGCCAGCGCACCTCACCCCCTCCAAGGACTGGGAGGCCGTGGAGGTTGGGGCCACCAGCTGTGATGGCGAGGAGAGAGGTGAGGGCCGAGGGTCCCAGCGCAGTCTTGGCGGAGCCTAGAGAACGCCTGAACGTTTCTTCCCTCACTCATCGATCCAGCAGATTTTTGGAGTACTGAGTTAGTCTGAATGTGCTGTGTAACAAGCCATCCCAGCCGGGTGTGGTGGCAAACGTCTATCATCCCAGTACTCAGGAGGCTGAGGCAGGAGGATCACCTCGAGTTCAAGGCCAGCCTGGGCTACATAGAGAGACCCTGTCTCAAAAACAAAACAAAACAAACAAACAAAACACCAAGTCATCCCAAAACTCACTGGTTAACGCAGCAATCATCGATGACTCACAACTCCGTGAGTGAGCAGGGTGACCGGGCCCAGGGGACATTTGTCTCCTGGCCTGTGCTTGCCCATGTAACCACAGCAGGTGTCCTCGGAGGTCGTGCTGCTGGGTGCAGCCCCGTGTGCTCACGCCTGGCCCTGAGGCCGCAGGACAGCAGCCAGCTGGTGTCGAGGGCACCTTGGGCTCACAGGGCAGCGAGGGAGACGATGACCCAATTCACAGTCACCTTTTCTGTGACATTGGAAACTGGACCCGGGGCCTTCACACTGAGCTACATCCTCAGCCCCTTTTATTACTATTATTTTTATTTTTAAAACTTTGAGACAAGGTCCCATCAATCAGATCACTCACGTTTCCCAGGCTGGGCTCAAACTTGCGATCTTCCTGTCTCAGCTTCCCAGAGTGCTGGGATGACAGGTGTGCACCACACACCCGGCTTTACAAGCACTTTTGGGGCTCTGCTCCACGAGGAAGGGGTTGCCTGAGAGGCAGACAGGAGAAGTGAAGGCGCTGGGGGCCACTGGAGGCAAATCGTACTGCAGTGCACCGGGCAGGCAGGGGTGGAGGCTCAGGGCTGCGTGGGGACAGCGGCAGACGGGCCGGCCAGGGAGCGAGGGGAAGCTGCTGTCTGTGGTCACGCGAGCCCTTGGGATGTGAAGCCGGGTGGCCGCGCGGGTGCCGTGGGGCTGGGGGTGGGGAGGAGAGCAAAGGGCTGGTGTTGCGCGAGCTGGGGACGCGCACCGAAGGCAGCCGGGAGACGGCGCAGTGACCCGCAGCGCACCTGGGAGCCCAGGGCAGGTGGAAACCAGCCGGGGCCAGGGATGGTGCCTCTTGAGGACACGGCCAGGAACGTGTGGACTCTTGAAACCTCTGGGGGTTAGAGGAGGAGAGTGACACGGTCTTGTTTGCATTTCAGAAAGATTCTCTGGCTCAGTGGTTTTCATCTGGGGCGGATTTTTTAGTTCATTAAGCTTACTGGTACATGTTAGTACACATAACGATCACATTTGTCGTAGGGGACTTGCACCTATGCACAACTTATCAAGGTTCTTGTTTCCCTCCCCTCCCCTTCCTTCAACCCCCTCCCCCTGCTTAGTTACAAAAGCTTTGCTTCCATTTTTTCCTTCTTGTTTTTCTCCTTTTCCCTTCCTGCCTTTCCCTTCTCCTCTCCCTTCTTCCCCTCCCCATTTGAGCATTTTCTTCCTATTTCCCAGTATCTATTTTGGACTTTATTTACACTTCCAGTTTCTCACAACAGAGCAACAGTGCAGTATTTAAGCGCATGTGTCCGATTTATTTCACTTAAGAGTATGGGCTCAAGGGGCATCGGTTACCTAGAACTGTCTCACATTTATTACCTGGGGCAGCTGCAACCCTCCCTTCCTGAGGGTGTTTGGGTGACGTCGGAGGTGGCTGGGTTGTCCTGCCAGGGATACTGCAGCTGTCTCATGGTGGAAGTCAGCATTGCGCTGCTGGACCTCCCAGGCAGTGTGACTGGGACCCTCTCCACCAAGGACCACGCACCCCAGTGTCAGCAGGGCCCAGGGTGAGACACCCTGCATCTGGCTGCGGGGAGAGTCCACTGTAGGTTCAGGAGGTCAAAGTGAAAGGTGAGAGGTCAGTTAGGAGACTCCTGTGTGACACGTGAGATCAGTGGACAGACTTGAGGCACAGCGTGGAGGGAGGATAAGTTCTTGCTGGAGGATGTGGGGAAGGGAAGGAAAACAGAACCAGGATGACTCTTGAGATTTGGACTTGGACATCTGGCTGGTGATCCCACTTGTGAGAGATGGGGTCATCTGAAGGGCACCCCATGGCAGAAGGTGCTGAGCGGTCCCCCCGGACGTCCTCTTCCCCTGGGGACAGAGGCATGGGTGATGGTGGGGCAGAGGTGTGAGGGTGAGGTAGTGGAAATGCCAGTTGCTGCCCTGCTCTCCCCAGCTCAGGGGCAGAGAGGATGTCGAGGCTGTGGCTGGGGGATTTGTGCACTGGAATCTGCCCTTGTGAAACCTGGGGAAGCCCTGCTTATCCCTACATGATTCTGTGCCTTTCTCTCCTACTCCTCTCCTGTTTGGCTGGAAGTGCATACAGGAGGAACTCCTTAACCTGTGGACGGGGGTGGGGGAACGGGGTAGGGCAGAGCACATCCGTGACCCAGTGTGCTCTTCCAGATAGTTGTGGGATCAGAATCCAGGTTTTTTGGCCCCACATGAAGCACATAGGCCATAAAGTACGTGTGTGTGTGTGTGTGTGGACATGTGCATGTGTGTGTTATCACAGAGAAAGACAGGATGCCAGGGGGAAGACTAGGAAGAGCCCGGGTGGCCCGGTCACTCACTCACGGCTCCTTTCTCCTCTGCCCACAACCCCACCCAGATCTGTCTTCGCAAGAGTCTGGGCTTTCACAGGAGTGGAGCTCAGTGGAGGAAGATGATGAGTCAGAGGATTCCCAGGTATGTTGGGGGTTTCTTCTCTGCCACAACTGTCTCACCTGGAAGATCTGGGGATTGTTATATTTCCTTCCTCAGCATGGAGTTTCTCTGTCCTGTCTAAGTTCCAAGAGGTACCTTGTGGGAAGCAGGACATATTCCTATGGTGGCTACACACAGAGTGGAGGGTCTCTACGTGGTGTGTGTGCAACTCCATTTAGCCCTTATTGTAAACCTATCCATCCATCCATCCATCCATCCATCCATCCATTTATCCATTCATCCATCCACCCATCCATCTATCTGCTCATCTGTCTGTCCATCCATCATCCATCCATCCATCCACTCATCTGTCCATCCACTCATCCACCCACCTATTCATCCATCCATCCATCCACCCATCCATCCATCTGCTCATTCATCCATCCACCCATCCATCCATCCACTGCTCATCCATCCATCCATCTATTCATCCATCCATCCATCCATCCATCTATCCATCCATCTGCTCATTCATCCATCCATCTGCTCATCCATCCATCCATCCATCCATCCATCCATCCATCCATCCACCCATCCATCCATCCACTCACCTATCCATTCATCAATCTACCCACCTACCCACCCATCAGTTAATCCATCTACCCATTGAACATCCACCAACCGTTCATCTGTCCACTTGCTCTTCTAGTGATTCTCAATTCCCTGTTCACCCATACTTCTATTCCATGTATTCAGCTGTCTACATTACACTCAGTCTTCTACTCAAACACCATCAACCCATCATTTCACCTACCCCACATAACCCAGCGGGAGTTGCTGTGACAGGCAATGCTCACTGCAGCCTGAGGGCCAGGAAGGTGGTTTCCTCTGAGGTGGAGTAAATGAGGGAGGGGACACGGGGAGCTTGGGGTACTTATAATGGTCTGTTTTTTTGTGGTGTTGTTCTTGGGGTTTGACCCCGGTCCTTTGCACTGAGCTACATCCTAGCCCTTTGGAGGCAGGGTCTTGCTAAGTCACTACCTTATGATCCTCAAACTTACGATCCTCCTGGCTCAGCCTCTCAGAACGCTAGAGTGACAGGTGTGCACCCCCACCCCCTGCTGATGATTCCCCTCTTGTTGGGTGTGCCAGTCATGTGCAGTATTCACCTTCCGAAGACTCCTCAGGCCACAGGGAGTGGCCCTCGCTCTTCTGTAGGCTGGTTTAATCCCCCAGGGAGTGACTGAGACCACGGATAATACTGAGTCTTGTATATACTATATTTTTCCCTACACATACATGCCTGTGGTAAAATGTAATTTGTAGATAAGGCGGGGTGAAATAGTAGGAATAACTAAGGAGAACATTACTGTTAACGTAAAGTAGTGTAGTAAGAGTCATGTGAGTGTGCACATGTAAGGGTCCAAATGAGGTCTGGCCTCAGCCTCTGGTGGAGCCCTGGGGTGTGGAGAGCACCACCAGCCTCCTCTTCTGAGCCAATGTCCATGACGCCCCATGGCCTATCCTGGTGGTTCTCCAGGGAGGCAGCTCAATTGGCACGGGGCATTTCTCAGGAGAAGGGGGCAATCGTAAATGGGAACCATGAGCCACAAGGTGATGGTCTTGCTGCCTGGTGTCAGAGTAAGGGGAGCTGTTTCCAGTGCCTAAGGGCCTGTGGTGCACAGTGAATTCTCTTGGTCAATTTTCTCATCACTGAGACAAAAATAACACGCCCATAGCTTAACGGAATAGAAGTCCATTCTGCTCCCATTTCAGAAGCTCCCGCCTTGCATGATCAGCACATGGTGGAGGGGCCTGGTGAAGGGAAGCTGCTCCCATCAAGGCTACCAGGAAGCAGAGAGGGAGAGCAGCCAGGGAGGAGGTGGTGCCCAGCAGGCCC